CCTGGCGCACTGCTCGTTCACCCCCCTCCTATTGAGGGCAGTTTCGAAGTCTCTCGGGGATGTGCGTCGAAGTCGAAGCCCATCTGAGGCGTCTCAGGAGCGCCTGGGGAAGGGCTCGGGAGGCCATCGGGGAAAGCCACCGAAAGCGCCGGGGAGCGCAAGGATCTACAGGGAGGGCCCAAGAGAGCTTCAAGAACATTTGAAATTCTGTAAAATCTTTAGAGAAACCGCTGTTGGGTCGGCCATCACCTCCGGGCGCGCCTTGATGGTGCGATCCAGTCGCATCGCCGCCAACGGGGAAGTTTGTTCGCCAAGTCCCATTCTGCTCGCCCAGAAGGTCTGTGGTCCGAAGAGTGCGGAGAGGTGCCTGGGTCATATCAATTGGCTGCTGTCCCAGGGGTCCAGTCTGGTTGGCCCGAAGAGTTTGCCAAGGCCCCTGGGGGAACAGAATGGCTCAGCATATCGGGCAAAGGGGGGCGGTAGCTGGCCTGTCAGACCCGGCGTTCGTCTTCTGCCCAAGTGGCGCGGGGCCCACGGGCCCCAGGGTTGGCGGCCCGCTGGGTTTCCTCTTGTTCGCCCACAAGGTTGGAGGAGGCTTCCAGGCGAACAGAATGGGGCAGGACAATGAATGTGGGAGACTTGTCGCAAGCTCCCAGCCCCCCCAAGTGTTCGCCTGAAAGGTGTGGGGCCGTGTTGGCTCCCTCAACTTGCCGTCGCTCGGACATCCATTTCCCGTGCATTTTTCGGTTTCGTGCGTGTTTTTTTTTTGCTCGATGGTCCAGGATTTTTGTTTTTGCTCGATGGTCCAGGATGGTCCTCGATGGTTCTCGCCGAGAAAAAATGCACACGTCCGAGCGATGCCATGTCAAAGGGCCGTCTTGGAGCCGTCTAGGCCCGTCTTGAGGGCGCCGTTTGCCGTGATGGGGCCGTCTTGGTCCGTCGTGGGCCCCTCAGGGGCGCGTCCGTAGGCCGTCCTGGGCCCATCGGGGTCCTTATTGGCACTATCTTGGGGCTGTCTTGGAGCCGTCTGGGGCCTTGAGGGGGCCACCTTGGGCCCCTCCTGTGCGCCTCCTTGGGCCGTCCTGGGCCCACCAGGGGCCGCATTGGCACCCTCTTGGGGCTGTGTTGGAGCAGTCTTGAGCCGTCGCAGCGCGCCTTGGGTTGTGCTGGGGTCGTCTTGGCCCGTCTTGGGGCCTTCCTGGGCGTGTCCTCGGACTCTCCTGGGACTTTCTAGGGCCTCTTGGTGCATAGGACCGCCGAAATGGCGGGAAACGCAAAGGCTGTAACAATAAACAATGGAAAATAAACGATTTTTGCAAGATGGGGCTCTCTTGCCATCTTAGCCCGTCTTGAGGCCTCGACTGGGCGCCTCCTTGGGCCGCCCTGGGCCCATCTGTGGCCGTGTTGGCACCCTCCTGGGACCGTCTTGGAGTCGTCTTGGGCCGTCTTGAACGTGCCTTGGGCCGTGCTGGGCCCGTCTGGGGCCGTGTTGGCACCCTCGTGGAGCCGTCTTGGAGCCGTCTTGGGCCGTCTTCAGCGCGCCTTGGGCCATGCTGGGGCGGTCTTGGCCCGTCTTGGGGCCCTCCTGGGAGCCTCCTGGGGGCGTTTTGGATCCTTTTGGGGCGGCAAGCGGGAAATCTTTGGAGAAGCCTAGGACAACAAACGATTTTGACCTCTCGGGACCCTCTTGTGAGGCCTTTTGGAGGCCTCTCGGAGCGCCTTGGCGCTCACTTGGGTCGTGTCGTGCCCATTTGAGGGGCCTCGTGGACGCTCTGTGGGGCTTCCCGGAGCGTGCAAGGACCGTCTGGGGCCCTCATGGCGCCGTGTGGGGCCCTCATGGCGCCATCTGGGGAGCCTCCAAGGGTCCTGGAGCGCTCCGGGGCGCTCTGGACCGCTCCCCAAAAGACAAGCATGCAAGGGCCCCAGAGCGTTGAACACAGCTCTTGTGGGCATGCGGTCCGGCCCTCGCCTCTCGTCAGGCCCCCCTCTCTTAGAGGCAAGGTGGAAGCCACTTAGGGCCTCTTGGGGGCCGTTTGGGGGACTCCTTCCGGCCTCCCGGGAATCCCTTGGGTCCCCCTTGGGCCGTCTTAAGTGCCTCTTGGGCTGTCTTGGGGCCGTGTGGGGCCGCCTTGGGCCGTTATTGACCGCTCTTTGGGCTGTCTTGGTTGCCTCTTGGGCCGTCTGGGGCGTCTCTGGAGCCGTCGCGGGCCCGCCTCGGGCCGTTTGGGGGCCCTCCCGGGGTGCTCTGGGGGCGTCTTGGGGCGATCGGGAAGGCCTGTATGGCCGTCTTGGGCGCGGTGAAGACGAAAAGAGCGAGCATATCAAAAATGCACGCTTTTCGAAGGGAAGGGGCCAATTCATGCCTCTTGGGTCCCTCCCGGGGGGTCCTCCTGGGCCGGGAGCCTCCTGGCCTGCCTTGGAGGGGGGCCGACCTGGGGCTCGGTTGGGCCCCCCTTGGTCTGTCCGGGCGCCCTCGTGGGCGTTTCTGAACCGTCTCGGAGCGGCCTGGGGGCTCGCAGGGCGGCCTGGAGAGCATGGCGGACACTTCAAGACAGAGGACCTTCTGGCACGCATCATGGCCTTCGGCGAAATCCGCCACCGTGCCTGTGCCTGGGTAGTGGCTCAGAGGCGTCTGTGGTCCCTCTTGGAGGCAGCTTTGGGGCCTCTTGGGGGCCGTCTTGGGGCTTGCTTTGGGCTTCTTGGGGGCCTCTGGGGACCTCTTGGCGTTCCCTTGGGGGGGTCTTGGGGCCTTGTGTGGGCGTATGGGGGCCCAGGGCTCGGAGTGTCAGGGTTTTTCCCTGTTCTTTGGCCCCCTCTTGGGCCTGGCTTGGGGTCCTCTGGGGCCGTCTTGGGCGCCTCTTGGGCCATGTTGGGCCTCCCTGGGACGTCTGGGGACGCGCTTGGAGGCCTGGGCCGTCCTGGGGCGGTCTTGTGGGTCTCTTCGGCCGTCTTGGAGCGTCGGCTAGCCGAGAAGGCGAAACTCCGTCAAAAATCATGGAACAATAAAAGATTTTGGCCTTTGGGGGCATGCTTCGGAGGACTGTTGGAGGCTCTTGGAGGCCTTGTGGGCCTTGTTGGGGGCCCCTAGGGGGCCTCTTGGGCGCTCCTTGGAGCCTCTGATGGCCACTTCGGCGCGTTTTTGGGGGGAGGGCTCGATTTGTGACGCTCGGGGGCCAGGATCTTCGTTGAGGGGTGTCGAAAAATGGACCTCCAGGGAAGGCAAAGGGCACGACCGTTTCGCACGCGCTTCCGTCTGCCATAGAGAAGAGATGACGTTGGGCTCCAGCTTCGCCTCCCGCATCTCGCTCAACAACGCCAGCGCCCGCTGCCACTGCTCGCCCTTCTCGCACGCGCTGATCCCAGCGTTGTAGCTGACTAGGGCAGACCTGTGGACTCCGTCCACGACATCAGCTCGACGTGGCGAGGGGGTATCTGGGCAAGCGCAGGGGGGGGTGCGGATGCAGGGGCCCGCCGAAAGGCAATCATGATGGCGTCGGGCTCCTCCTCCTCCTCCTCCTCCTCCTCCTCCTCCTCCTCCTCCTTTTCCACCTTCTTTTTCTCTTTCGCTGGATTCTCCATGCCCTCGGTCGGCAATCGTCGATCCTACGACGACTCTCCCCAACAGAGAAACATCGAAGGCCCTCGGAGCGTCCAACATTGTTCTTTTGTGCCTTCGATATGCCGGTCGCCTCTCGTCCGCTCCCCCGCTCCGGGAAGGAATTCTGAAGGCACTGAAGGCTTCGTAGGGGCCGTTTCGGAGCCTCTTCGGCCTTCGTTTGGGCCTCGCGGGGGGGCTCTTAGGGCTCTCTCGGGCCGTCTTGGGTGCCTCTTGGGCCGTCTTCGGGCCATCTGAGGCCCTCCTTGGCGCCTCTTCGGCTGTCGTGGGCCGTATTGGGCCGCTCCTGGGGCCGTCTTGGGTGCCTCTTGGGCCGTCTTGGGCGCCTCCTGGGCCGTCCGGACGCCGTCCTGCGGCGTCTTGGGACCGTCTTGGGGCCCTCCTGGCCCGTATTGGGGCTCTCTTGGGGTCCTCTTCGGCCGTCTTGGAGCGGTCGGGGGGGCGTCTTGGGCCGTCTTGGAGCGTCGGGAAGGCGACGAGGCGAGGAGGCCCCCCCCCCCCCCCGAAAAATTGACAAACACAATAGAAATCGGACGAGTTCCTGTCCGCTCGGGGCCCTTTGGGAGGCCTTTGGGAGCCTCTTCGGGCGTCTTGGACGCTCGAGGGCCTACTGGGCGAACTCGGAAGTCTTGGGCGCTCTTGGGCTGTCTTGGGCCGTCTTGGGCCGCTCCTGGGGCCGTCTTGGGTGCCTATTGGGCCGTCTTGGGCGCCTCCTGGGCCGTCCTGGGGCCGTCCTGGGGCGTATTGGGACCGTCTTGGGGCCCTCCTGGCCCGTCTTGGGGCTCTCTTGGGGTCCTCTTCGGCCGTCTTGGAGCGGTCGGGGGGGCGTCTTGGGCCGTCTTGGAGCGTCGGAAAGCCGACGAGGCGAGGAGGCCAAAAACATTGAAAAACACAGTAGAAATCGACGATTTCTGTCGCTCGGGGCCCTCTTGGGAGGCCTCTTGGGAGGCCTCTTCGGGCGTCTTGGACGCCTCGAGGGCCTCCTGGGGCGAATCTCGGGCGTCTTGGGCGCTCTTGGGCTGTCTTGGGCCGTCTTGGGCCGCTCCTGGGGCCGTCTTGGGTGCCTCTTGGGCCGTCTTGGGCGCCTCCTGGTCCGTCCTGGGGCCGTCCTGCGGCGTCTTGGGACCGTCTGGGGGCCCTCCTGGCCCGTCTTGGGGCTCTCTTGGGGTCCTCTTCGGCCGTCTTGGAGCGGTCGGGGGGACTTCTTGGGCCGTCTTGGAGCGTCGGAAAGCCGAAGAGGCGAGGAGGCCGAAAACACTGAAAAACACAGTAGAAATCGACGCTTTCTGTCGCTCGGGGCCCTCTTGGGAGGCCTCTTGGGAGGCCTCTTCGGGCGTCTTGGACGCCTCGAGGGCCGCCTGGGGCGACTCTCGGACGTCTTGGGCGCATCTTTAAGCGTGCCGGGGCTCTCCGGGGCCGTCGTGGGGGATTTTTGGGACCCTCTGGACGTGTCTTGGGGCCTCCCTGGGCGGCCCGGAGCCAGCCCGGGGCGGTTTTGGTTCATTGGAGCCTGCACCATTCTGGCACGCACTGGGCCCTGCAATGTAGTAGAGACTAGGGCAGACCTGTGGACTCCGTCCAGGACATCAGCTCGACGTGGCGAGGGGTCTCTGGGCAAGCCCAGCAGAGAAACATCGAAGGCCCTCGGAGCGTCCAACATTGTTCTTTTGTGCCTTCGATATGCCGGTCGCCTCTCGTCCGCCCCCCCCCTCCTGGAAGCAATTCTGATGCCACTTAGGGCTTCGTGGGGGCCGTTTGGGGATCTCTTGGGGCGTTTTTGCTTGCGATATGCCTGTCGCCTCTCGTCCGCTCCCCCGCTCCTGGAGGGAATTCTGAAGCCACTGAAGGCTTCGTCGGGGCCGTTTCGGAGCCTCTTCGGCCTTCTTTTGGGCCTCCCGGGGGGGCTCTTAGGGCCCTCTCGGGCCGTCTTGGGTGCCTCTTGGGCCGTCTTGGGGCCGGCTGAGGCCCGCCTCGGCGCCTCTTGGGCTGTCTTGGGCCGTCTTGGGCCGCTCCTGGGGCCGTCTTGGGTGCCTCTTGGGCCGTCTTGGGCGCCTCCTGGGCCGTCCTGGGGCAGTCCTGGGGCGTCTTGGGACCGTCTTGGGGCCCTCCTGGCCCGTCTTGGGGCTCTCTTGGGGTCCTCTTCGGCCGTCTTGGAGCGGTCGGGGGGACTTCTTGGGCCGTCTTGGAGCGTCGGGAAGCCGAAGAGGCGAGGAGGCCGAAAACATCGAAAAACATAATAGAAATCGACGATTTCTGTCGCTCGGGGCCCTCTTGGGAGGCCTCTTGGGAAGCCTCTTCGGGCGTCTTGGACGCCTCTTGGGCCGTCTGGGGCGAATCTCGGGCGTCTTGGGCCCATCTTTAAGCGTGCCGGGGCTCTCCGGGGCCGTCTTGGGGGCTTCTGGGGGCCCTCTCGACATGTTCTGGAGCCTGCCTGGGCGGCTCGGGGCAGCCCGGGGCCAGCCCGGGGCGGTTTTGACTCATTGGAGCCGGCGCCCTTCTGGCACGCACTGGGCCCTGCAATGTAGTAGAGAAGACTAGGGCTGACCCGTGGACTCCGTCCACGACATCTTTCTGGAATGGTTCTCGGAGGAACGGCGCAGATTGCACCGAAAATCTACAAACACGGCGGCGGCTCGAGCGGCGGCAGCGAGACCGCGCCTTCGTGTCCGAGCTCTTGTAGCGCTCCAGCAGCTTGGCCCAGCGCACTGCTCGTTCACCCCCCTCCTATTGAGGACAGTTTCGAAGTCTCTCGGGGATGTGCGTCGAAGTCGAAGCCCATCTGAGGCGTCTCAGGAGCGCTCGGGGAAGGGCTCGGGAGGCCATCGGGGAAAGCCACCGAAAGCGCCGGGGAGGCTCGCAAGGATCTACAGGGAGGGCACAAGAGAGCTTCAAGAAAATTTGAAATTCTGTAAAATCTTTAGAGAAACCGCTGTTGGGTCGGCCATTACCTCCAGGCGCGCCTTGATGGTGCGATCCAGTCGCATCACCGCCAACGGGAGGGTTTGTTCGCCATGTCCCATTCTGTTCGCCCAGAGGGTCTGTGGAGGCCTTCGGGCGAACAGAACGGGACAAGGCAAGGAATGGGGAAGACTTGTCCGAATCTCCTGGGCCCCCCAGGTGCTCGTCCGAAGAATGCGGAGAGGTCCCAGGGTCATATCAATTGGCTGCTGTCCCAGGGGTCCGGTCTGCTTGGCCCGAAGAGTTTGCCAAGGCCCCTGGGGGAACAGAATGGCACAGCATATCGGGCAAAGGGGGGCGGTAGCTGGCCTGTCAGACCCGGCGTTCGTCTTCTGCCCAAGCGGCGCGGGGCCCACGGGCCCCAGGGTTGGCGGCCCGCTGGGTTTCCTCTTGTTCGCCCACAGGGTTGGAGGAGGCCTCCAGGCGAACAGAATGGGGCAGGACAATGAATGTGGGAGACTTGTCGCAAGCTCCCAGCCCCCCCAAGTGTGCGCCCGAAGGGTGTGGGGCCGCGTTGGCTCCCTCAAAGGGCCGTCTTGGAGCCGTCCAGGCCCGTCTTGAGGGCACCGTGTGCCGTGATGGGGCCGTCTTGGTTCGTCGTGGGCCCCTCATGGGCCGTCCGTAGGCCGTCCTGGGCCCATCGGGGTCCTCGTGGGGCTGTCTTGGAGCCGTCTGGGACCGTGAGGGGGCCGCCTTGGAGTCGTCTTGGGCCCTCCTGTGCGCCTCCTTGGGCCGTCCTGGGCCCAGCAGGGGCCGTGTTGGCACCCTCTTGGGGCTGTCTTGGAGCCGTCTTGAGCCGTCGCAGCGCGCCTTGGGTTGTGCTGGGTCCGTCTTGGCCCGTCTTGGGGCCTTCCTGGGCGTTTCCTCGGACCCTCCTGGGACTTTCTGGGGCCTCTTGGTGCATCGGACCGCCGAAACGGCGGGAAACGCAAAGGGTGTAACAGTAAACAATGGAAAATTAACGATTTTTGCCAGCTGGGGCTCTCTTGCCATCTTGGCCCGTCTTGAGGCCCCGACCGGGCGCGTCCTTGGGCCGTCCTGGGCGCACCCTCCTGGGACCGTCTTGGAATCGTCTTGGGCCGTCTTGAGCGCGCCTTGGGCCGTCCTGGGCCCGTCTGGGGCCGTGTTGGCACCCTCGCGGCGAGGAAGCTCGGAGGCGGGCTCGAGGCCTCTTTGGGGCCATTTTGGAAGCTGTTGGGGCCTCTGTTGGGGCCTCGTCTGGGCTCCTTGGGAGCCTCCTGGGGCCTCTTTGGGGGATTCTTGGCGGCCCCTTGGGGCCTCTTGGGGGCCTGTTTGGGCCTCCTGGCGCCCTCTTAATGCTCGGATTTTCGGTCCGTGGTCCCCCTCTTGGCCCCCTCTTGGGCCTGTCTTCGGGCCCTCGTGGGCCGTCTTGAGCGTCTCTTGGGTCGTCTTGGGGCCCTCTTGGGCTGTCTTGGGGCGCTCTTGGAAACCTCTTGGGCCGTTCTGGGGCGCTCTTGGAGGCCTCTTGGGCCGTCTTCGAGCGTCGGAAAGCGGAAAAAGCGAGAAGGCCAAAATCCTTCCAAAACCGTCGTAAAGCGGATGACTTTGATGCCCCAAACCGTCCAAAACCTCCTGAGGCGGTCCCCTCGTCCGCCCCCGTGGCACCTCTTGGGGGCCTCTGTTGGGCTCCGGGGGGCGTCTTGGGCCTCTCTGGGCTCGTCTACCGCGCTCCTTGGGCTGTCTTGGGGCCCCCTAGGGCCTTCTTGGGCGGTCCTCGGGCCGTCCTGGAGCCATCTTGGGCCGCTCTTCGGGCCATCTTGGGGTCCCGTTGGCCTGTCTAGGGCGCCTGTCGGGCCGTCTGGGGGCCGCCTTGGACCGTCTTGAGGCCCTCTTGGACCGTCTTGGGGTCCTCTTGGGGACCTCGTCGACCGTCTTGGAGCGGTCTTGGATGCGTCTGGGAGGGTTTCGGAGCGTCGGGAAGCCGAAAAAGCGAAGAAGCAAACAACCTCGGGAAAACTAATGAAAATCAGCGATTTTGGCCTCTCGGGCCTCTCCTGGGATGCCTCTTGGGAGGCCTGTTGGGCCGTCTTGGCGAGCTCTGGGCGGTTCCTCGGGCCGTCTTGGAGCCATCTTGGGCCGCTCTTCGGGCCATCTTGGGGTCCCGTTGGCCTGTCTAGGGCGCCTCTGGGGCCGTCAGGGGCCGTCTTGGAACCATCTTGGGCCGCTCTGCGGGCCATCTTGGGGTCCCACTGGCCTGTCTTGGGCGCCTCTGGGGCCGTCCTGGGGCCGCCTTGGACCGTCTTGGGGCCCTCTTGGACCGTCTTGGGGTCCTGCTGGGGACCTCTTCGACCGTCTTGGAGCGGTCTTGGATGCCTCTGGGAGGGTTTGGGAGCGTCGGGAAGCCGGAACAGCGAAGAAGCAAAAACCTCGGAAAAACCGAGGACAATCAACGATTTTGGCCTCTCGGGGCTCTCTTGGGATGCCTCTTGGGAGGCCTGTTGGGCCGTCTTGGCGAGCTCTTGGGCCGTCTTGGGCCAATCTTGGGCGTCTTGGCCGGATCATTGCGCGTCTCGGGGCCCTCCTGGGCCGCTTTCGGGGCATCTTGAGCGGCTCGGAGCCGTCTTTGGGCCGTCGGGGCGGCCTCTGGAGCGTCTCGGAGCCGTTTTCCGGCATTTGACTGGATTTCCTTCCGGCACGCGCTTCCTCCAGCCATATAGTATAGACTAGGGCTGACCCGTGGACTACGTCCACGACATCTGCTCGAGGTGGCGAGCGGTGTCTGGGCAAGCGTGCTTGCTTCTGCCCAGTGCCTTTTACATCCGCTTGCTGTTGCTGAGTGCTGCGTGTTGCCACTCGCGGCTCATCGTTCTGTCTTTCTTGGGCGTTTGCCGCTTGATTATGTCGCTTCTTGCTGCTTGATCCCGACCTCAGCCTGGAGCCTTTGCAAAGGAGGGAAGAAAATAAGAGGCACATCGGCGCCTTATAATCCTGGGTGGCAGGCGCGGTTCCAGAGCTCTCTGAGGGATCTTCCCTCGGAAGCCTTCTTGGGAGCCCTGGGGCCGGCTTGGGGCGTGGAGGCTCCGAAGATGCGAGTAAGTCAGACTGGAACCTTTGCAAAGGAGGGAAGAACATGTGAGGCGCATCGGCGCCTTATTTTCCTGGGTGGCCGGCGCGGTTCCAAAGCTCTCTGAGGGATCTTCCCTCGGAAGCCTCTTGCAGGCGGCTTCGGGGGTGTCTTCTGGCCTCTCGAGGGTCTCTGGGGGCCTGATTTGGGCCTCTTCGGGGCCCTTCTGGGGCGTCTGGCGGGCCTCCTTGGGGCCAGCTGGCGGTGTCTGGGATCATCCTGGAGCGGAGGGCGCGAAATGTCAGTTCGAGTTCCCCTCGTGTGGTCCTCTTGGGACCGTCTTGGGCCGTCTTGGGGGGCCGTCTTGGGGCCCTCTTGGGCCGTATGGGAGCTCTCTCTCGGGGGCCCTGGGACCGGCTGGGAGCGTGGAGACTCAGAAAAAAACGAAACGCTGAAAACCCTGCGACAATTTTAGGAAAATCCATATTTTTCATCGTCTCGGAGCCCTTCTTGGGGGCCTCTTGGAGCCCGCTTGGGCCGTCTTCCTGCGCTGTGGGGCCTTCTGGGGCGTCGGGGGGGATTCTTGGAGGGCAACTGGCGGTTTCCGGGGTCATCCTGAAGCGGAGGGCGCGAAATGCCAGTTGGAGTTTCACCTCATGAGGCACTCCTGGGGCCGTCTTGGGGCCCTCTTGGGCCGTCTGGGTGCTCTCTCGGCGGCCTCGTGGGCCATCGTTTCGCGATCTCGGGGGCCCTGGGGCCAGCTTGGAGCGTCAAGGCTCCGAAAAGGCGAAACCTCTGAAATCCTTCAAAAAACATACGGTACATTTATGATTTTCGCCTCACGGGGCCCGTCTTGAGGGCCTCTTTGGGCCCTCCTGGGCTGTCTTCTGGCACTGTGGCGCCTTCGGGGGCGTCTAGGGGGCCTCGTGGGGGCCAGCTGGCGGTGTCTGGGATCATCCTGGAGCGAGGACGCGAAAGGTCAGTTCGGGCTCCCCCTGATGGAGCCCTCTTCGGGCCGTCTTGGGTCGTCTTGGGGGAGCTCTTGGGCTATCTTGGGGCCCTCTTGGGCTGTCTGGGAGGCCTCGTCGGCCGTCTTGGAGCGGTCTTGGGGGCCTCTTGGGCGGTCTTCGAGCATCGGGAAGCCGACAAAGAGACACTGCAAAAAACATTGAAAAAACTGACTTAGCAATTGTTGCCTCTCGGGCCGTCTGGGCTCTGTCTGGGGCAGGATTGGGTGCCTGTGGGGCTGTGTGGGGCCGTCTGGAGTCGTCTTGGCCGCCTCTGGGGCCGTCATGGGGCCCTGTGTGGTCGTCTCTGGGCTCTCTCAGGGGCTTCGTCGGCCGTCTTGGAGCTGTCTTGGGAACGCCTTGGGCGGCGGTGGATCGTGTAAAAGCCGACCGAGCGAGTACGGCAGAAACAATGCCAAAAACAACGACAATCTAGGATTTGTCTTGCTCGGGGCCCTGTGGAAAGCTTCTGGGGAAGTCTCATGGAGAATCTTGGAGATCTGTCGGGCCGGCTTGGGCCAATGTTGGGCCAATCTCGAGCGTCTGGGGCACATCTGGGGGCCTGTTGAGCCGACTTGGGGCCCTCTGGGTCTGTCTTGGGGCTCTCTTTGGGTCCCTTTACGGCCGTATGGGAGCCGTCTTGGGAACGTCTTGGGCTGTCGTGGATCGCCTGGAAGCCGAGAAGGCGAGCACCGCAAAAACCTTTAAATAAACAATGAAAATCGATGTTTTGTCCTGCTCGGGGCCCTCTGGGGAAGCTTCTGGGGAGGTCTCTCGGAGCACCTTCGAGACCTCTCGGGCCGGCTTGGGCCAATCTTGGGCCAATCTTGAGCGTCTGGGGCCCATCTGGGAGCCTGTTGAGCCGACTTGGCTCCCGTTGGCTCCCTCAAAGGGCCGTCTTGGAGCTGTCCAAGCGCGTCTTGAGGGCGCCGAGTGCCGTGATGGGGCCGTCTTGGTTCGTCGTGGGCCCCTCAGCGGCGCGTCCGTAGGCCGTCCTGGGCCCATCGGGGTCCTCGTGGGGCTGTCTTGGAGCCGTCTGGGACCGTGAGGGGGCCGCCTTGGAGTCGCCTTGGGCCCCTCCTTTGCGCCTCCTTGGGCCGTCCTGGGCCCAGCAGGGGCCGTGGTGGCACCCTCTTGGGGCTGTCTTAGAGCCGTCTTGAGCCGTCGCAGCGCGCCTTGGGTTGTGCTGGGGTCGTCTTGGCCCGTCTTGGGGCCTTCCTGGGCGTTTCCTCGGACCCTCCTGGGACTTTCTGGGGCCTCTTGGTGCATCGGACCGCCGACACGGCGGGAAACGCAAAGGGTATAACAGTAAACAATGTACAATTAACGATTTTTGCCAGCTGGGGCTCTCTTGCCATCTTGGCCCGTCTTGAGCCCCCGAACGGGCGCGTCCTTGGGTCGTCCTGGGCGCACCCTCCTGGGACCGTCTTGGAATCGTCTTGGGCCGTCTTGAACGCGCCTTGGGCCGTCCTGGGCCGGTCTGGGGCCGTGTTGGCACCCTCGCGGCGAGGAAGCTCGGAGGCGGGCTCGAGGCCTCTTCGGGGCCATTTTGGAGGCTGTTGGGGCCTCTGTTGGGGCCTCGTTTGGGCTCTGCCTCTTGGGGCCTCTTTGGTGGATTCTTGGCGGCCCCTTAGGGCCTCTTGGGGGCCTGTTTGGGCCTCCTGGCGCCCTTTTGGGGCGGAATGCTCGGATTTTCGGTCCGTGGTCCCCCTCTTGGCCCACTCTTGGGCCTGTCTTCGGGCCCTCGTGGGCCGTCTTGAGCGTCTCTGGGGTCGTCCTGGGGCCCTCTTGGGCTGTCTTGGGGCGCTCTTGGAAACCTCTTGGGCCGTTCTGGGGCGCTCTTGGAGGCCTCTTGGGCCGTCTTCGAGCGTCGGAAAGCGGAAGAGGCGAGAAGGCCAAAATCCTTCCAAAACCGTCGTAAAGCGGATGACTTTGAGGCCCCGAACCGCCCAAAACCTCCTGAGGCGGTCCCCTCGTCCGCCCCCCTCGCTTCGAAGCAGTTTTTAAGCCTCGTGGCACCTCTTGGGGACATCTTTTTGGCTCCTGGGGGCCTCTTGGGCCTCTCTGGGCTCGTCTATCGCGCCCCTTGGGCTGTCTTGGGGCCCCCTAGGGCCTTCTTGGGAGGTCCTCGGGCCGTCTTGGAGCCATCTTGGGCCGCTCTTCGGCCCATCTTGGGGTCCCGTTGGCCTGTCTTGGGCGCCTCTGGGGCTGTCCTGGGGCCGCCTTGGACCGTCTTGGGGCCCTCTTGGACCGTCTTGGGGTCCTCTTGGGGACCTCTTCGACCGTCTTGGAGCGGTCTTGGATGCCTCTGGGGGGGTTTCGGAGCGTCGGGAAGCCGAAAAAGCGAGGAAGCAAAAAACATCGGAAAAACCAATGACAATCAACGATTTTGGCCTCTCGGAGCTCTCTTGGGAGGCCTCTTGGGAGGCCTATTGGGCCGTCTTCGGAAGCTCTTGGGCCGTCTTGGGCCAATCTTGGGCGTCTTGGCCGGATCATTGCGCGTCTCGGGGCCCTCTTGGGCCGCCTTCGGGGCATCTTGAGCGGCTCGGAGCCGTCTTTGGGCCGTCGGGGCGGCCTCCGGAGCGTCTCGGAGCCGTTTCCGGCCATTTGGTCCTTTTTCCTTCCGGCACGCGGTTCCTCCGGCCATATAGTATAGATGACGTCTAGCTCCAGCTTCGCCTCCCGCATCTCGCTCAGCAGCGCCAGGGCCCGCTGCCACTGCTCGTTTTTCGCGCACGCGCTGATCCCAGCACTGTAGCTGATGACGTTGGGCTTCAGCTTCGCCTCTCACATCTCGCTCAGCAGCGCTAGGGCCCGCTGCCACTGCTCGCCCTTCGCGCACGCGCTGGTCCCCGCATTATAGCTGATGACGTTGGGCTCCAGCTTCGCCTCCCGCATCGCGCTCAGCAGCGCAAGCGCCCGCTGCCACTGCTCGCCCTTCGCGCACGCGCTGATCCAAGCATTATAGCTGATGACGTTGGGCTCCAGCTTCGCCTCCCGCATCTCGCTCAGCAGCGCCAGGGCCCGCTGCCACTGCTCGCCCTTCGCGCACGCGCTGATCCCAGCATTATAGCTGACTAGGGCAGACCTGTGGACTCCGTCCACGACATCAGCTCGACGTGGCGAGGGGTCTCTGGGCAAGCGCGGGGGGGTGCGGCTGCAGGGCCGAAAGGCAATCATGATGGCGTCCTCCACACCCTCCAGGACCTCCTGCTCTCCTGTGTTCCTCAGCTGCTGCTGCTGCTCGGAGGTCCTGCTGCTTCCTCCCCCTCCTCCTCCTCCTCCTCCTCCTCCTCCTCCTCCGCCTCCTCCTCCTCCTCCTCTTCCACCTTCTTCTCCTCTTTCGCTGGATTCTCCATGCTCTCCTCTCGGTCGGCAAGCGTCGATCCTACGACGACTCTCCCCAACAGAGAAACATCGAAGGCCCTCGGAGCGTCCAACACTGTTCTTTTGTGCCTTCGATATGCCGGTCGCCTCTCGTCCGCTCCCCCCCTCCTGGAAGCAATTCTGAGGCCACTTGGGGCTTCGTGGGGGCCGTTTGGGGATCTCTTGGGGCGTTTTTGCCTGCGATATGCCTGTCGCCCCTCGTCCGCTCCCCCGCTCCTGGAGGGAATTCTGAAGCCACTGAAAGCTTCGTGGGGGCCGTTTCGGAGCCTCTTCGGCTTTCTTTTGGGCCTCCTGGGGGGGCTCTTAGGGCCCTCTCGGGCCGTCGGGTGCCTCTTGGGCCGTCTTGGGGCCGTCTGAGGCCCGCCTCGGCGCCTCTTGGGCTGTCTTGGGCCGTCTTGGGCCGCTCCTGGGGCCGTCTTGGGTGGCGCCTCCTGGGCCGTCCTGGGGCCGTCCTGGGGCGTCTTGGGACCGTCTTGGGGCCCTGCTGGCCCGTCTTGGGGCTCTCTTGGGGTCCTCTTCGGCCGTCTTGGAGCGGTCGGGGGGACTTCTTGGGCCGTCGTGGAGCGTCGGGAAGCCGAAGAGGCGAGGAGGCCGAAAACATCGAAAAACACAATAGACATTGACGATTTCTGCCGCTCGGGGCCCTCTTGGGAGGCCTCTTGGGAGGCCTCTTCGGGCGTCTTGGACGCCTCTTGGGCCGTCTGGGGCGAATCTCGGGCGTCTAGTGTGAACCCGTGGAAAATCCACGGCCCGCAGGTCCAGGCATTGGTCCCGAACGCGCACGTGTCGGAAGCACTGGAAGCGTCAAAAGTAATGTGTTTTTGCTAATCGCGCGAGGCCTGGGCGCGATTAGCAGAAACACATAGGTTTTCAGACGCAATCAGAGTAAGGGGGCCCGAACGATCTTACAGAGTCCCTGTGCGCGAGAAGTTCGATGTGGGGGGTGGACGCGTGGGGGCCAGAGTTGGGCGCTACGTTGGGGGGCCTCGTTTGAGGGCCACGTTGGGGGGTCTCGTCAGGGTGTCATGGTTGGGGCCAACGTTCGCGGCCCTGCCGGGGGCCATGTTTGGGGGCCGCGTGCGGGGTTCGGGGGCACATGTGACGGTCGCGTTTGAGGGTGTGGGGTTCGGGGGCAGATGTGACGGTCACGTTTGAGGGCAATGGTTGGGGGCTGTGTGTGTTGGGGCCACGTTTGGGGGCGCCTGGGGGCTACGCGTGGGGTTGACGTTCGGGGGCCACGCTTACTGGGGCGGTAGGGGCGACCTTCGGAGGCTTTGTGTGGGGGCCGCCTTTGGGGGTCCCGTTTGGAGGCCGCGCGTGGGGCCGACGTGTAAGGGGCCACGTCCAGGGGCGATCTCAGAAAACAGTCGGGGAGCCCCGGGGGCACTGACCTGGAAGCGTGACAAGGAATGGGTTTTTTGCTAATCGCGCTGGGACTGGGCGCGATCAGCAAACTCAAGATTTTTCAGGCACCGTCAGAGTGAAGGAGCCACGTTAGCGGGCCCGCGCAGGGTGGTCCTGGGGCCATCTCGGGGTTCTCGGGCCGTCGAAATGGCCGTCTCGAGAGCTCTGGCAGATCGAAGCCAGCAGAACCGAGAGAGCAGCGGTGAGGCCCCAGATACAGCCAAGGGTGCGGGTGCTGGTATACGTAGGGCCCCCGAACTGGCTGTAGTGGCCTGCGGGCAATGTCGCTGCGGGCCTGGGTAATGGGTAAGAGATCTCGTGGATGTTGGTTGGGATCTCATGGCTGGCCTCTCGGGAGCCTCTAGGAGACAGTTTGGGGGCTTCTTGGTAGCAGTTTGGGGGCGTCTTGGGGCCTCTTGGGCTCTCTTTTGGGGGCCTCTTGGGGTCTTTTGGGGCGCTTGGCGGCCTCTGGGGGGCCTCTTGGAGCCTCTTTGGGGCGTCCTGGGGCCTCCTGGGGATGTCTTGGGAGCGTCCCGGCGTTTCTTTGGGGCGTCTTGGGGCTTCCTGGGGGCATCTTCGGGTGGAGGCTTAATTTGTTCGGTTCCGGGTCCCTGTCTGGGGCCTCTCTTGGGGCCTTCTTGGGGCGCTCTTGGGCTGTCTTGGGCGACTCCTGGGCCGTCTTAGGGCCCTCTTGGGCCGTCTTGGGGCCGTCTTGAAGGCCTCTTGGGCCGTCTCGGAACGGTCTGGGGGGCCTCTTGGGCGGTCTTGGAGCGTCAGAAAGCCGAAAACGCGAGAAGGCCAGAAACATCGGAACAAAAACAAAGAAAATCAACGATTTTGGCTTCTGCGGCCCCTCTTGGAGGTACACTTCGAGCACTCTGGGGGCCTCGTGGACGCGTCCCGGGCCGTCTTGAAGGCATCTTGAAGCCATTTTGAGCGTCTCGGATCCACTCTTGGACCGTCTTGGGCCGTCTTCGGGACCTCCTGAGGCCGTCTTGGGGCGATCTGGGAATCCCGGATCAGTCCGCCAGCGGTCCGGGGGCCTCCCGGGCCCGTCGGGCAGCGGCCCGGAGGCTCTCCGGACGGCCCGCGAGATCTCTGGGCGGCCCGGGGCGCTGCCACTGCCTGACCTTCTCGCGCGCGCTTCGCCCGGAATTGTAGTACAGATGATGTCGGGCTCCAGCTTCGCCTCCGGCATCTCGCTCAGCAGCGCCAGCGCCCGCTGCCACTGCCCGCCCTTCTCGCACGCGCTGGTCCCAGCACTGTAGCTGATGACGTTGGGCTCAAGCTTCGCCTCCCGCATCTCGCTCAGCAGCGCCAGCGCAGGCTGCCACTGCCCGCCCTTCTCGCACGCGCTGATCCCAGCGCTGTAGCTGATGACGTTGCGCGCCTCCTGGACCGTCCTGGGGCCGTCCTGGGGCGTCTTGGGACCGTCTGGGGGCCCTCCTGGCCCGTCTTGGGGCTCTCTTGGGGTCCTCTTCGGCCGTCTTGGAGCGGTCGGGGGGACTTCTTGAGCCGTCTTAGAGCGTCGGGAAGCCGAAGAGGCGAGGAGGCCGAAAACATAGAAAAACACAATAGAAATCGACGATTTCTGTCGCTCGGGGCCCTCTTGGGAGGCCTCTTGGGAGGCCTCTTCGGGCGTCTTGGACGCCTCTTGGGCCGCCTGGGGCGAATCTCGGGCGTCTTGGGCCCATCTTTAAGCGTGCCGGGGCTCTCCGGGGCCGTCTTGGGGGCTTCTGGGGGCCCTCCCGACATGTCCTGGAGCCTGCCTGGGCGGCCCGGGGCGGCCCGGGGCCAGCCCGGGGCGGTTTTGAGACATTGGAGCCTGCGCCCTTCTGGCACGCACTGGGCCCTGCAATGTAGTAGAGATGACGTTGGGCTCAAGCTTCGCCTCCCGCATCTCGCTCAGCAGCGCCAGCGCAGGCTGCCACTGCTCGCCCTTCTCGCACGCGCTGATCCCAGCGTTGTAGCTGACTAGGGCTGACCCGTGGACTCCGTCCACGACATCTTTCTGGAATGGTTCTCGGAGGAACGGCGCAGATTGTACCGAAAATCTACAAACACGGCGGCGGCTCGGGCGGCGGCAGCGAGACCGCGCCTTCGTGTCCGAGCTCTTGCAGCGCTGCAGCAGCTTGGCCCAGCGCACTGCTCGTTCACCCCCCTCCTATTGAGGACAGTTTCGAAGTCTCTCGGGGATGTGCGTCGAAGTCGAAGCCCATCTGAGGCGTCTCAGGAGCGCTCGGGGAAGGGCTCGGGAGGCCATCGGGGAAAGCCACCGAAAGCGCCGGGGAGGCTCGCAAGGATCCACAGGGAGGGCCCAAGAGAGCTTCAAGAAACATTTGAAATCCAGTGAACTCTTAAGAGAAACCGCTGTTGGGTCGGAGGTACTGCTGCTTGTCTCCTCCTCCTCCTCCGCCTCCTCCTCCTCCTCCTCCGCCTCCTCCTCTTCCACCTTCTTCTCTCTCTTTCGCTGGATTCTCCATGCCCTCGGTTCGGCAATCGTCGATCCTACGACGACTCTCCCCAACAGAGAAACATCGAAGGCCCTCGGAGCGTCCAACACTGTTCTTTTGTGCCTTCGATATGCCGGTCGCCTCTCGTCCGCTCCCCCCCTCCTGGAAGCAATTCTGAGGCCACTTAGGCTTCGTGGGGGCCGTTTGGGGATCTCTTGGGCGTTTTTGCCTGCGATATGCCTGTCGCCTCTCGTCCGCTCCCCCGCTCCTGGAGGGAATTCTGAAGGCACTGAAGGCTTCGTGGGGGCCGTTTCGGAGCCTCTTCGGCCTTCGTTTGGGCCTCCCGGGGGGGCTCTTAGGGCCCTCTCGGGCCGTCTTGGGTGCCTCTTGGGCCGTCTTGGGGCCGTCTGAGACCCGCCTCGGCGCCTCTTGGGCTGTCGTGGGCCGTCTTGGGCCGCTCCTGGGGTCGTCTTGGGTGCCTCTTGGGCCGTCTTGGGCGCCTCCTGGGCCGTCCTGGGGCCGTCCTGGGGCGTCTTGGGACCGTCTTGGGGCCCTCCTGGCCCGTCTTGGGGCTCTCTTGGGGTCCTCTTCGGCCGTCTTGGAGCGGTCGGGGGGACTTCTTGGGCCGTCTTGGAGCGTCGGGAATCCGAAGAGGCGAGGAGGCCGAAAACATCGAAAAACACGATAGAAATCGACGATTTCTGTCGCTCGGGGCCCTCTTGGGAGGCCTCTTGGGAGGCCTCTTCGGGCGTCTTGGACGCCTCTTGGGCCGTCTGGGGCGGAACGCCGCGACGTTCAGGTGAACCCGTGGAAAATCCACGGCCCGCAGGTCCAGGCATTGGTCCCGAACGCGCACGTGTCGGAAGCACTGGAAGCGTCAAAAGTAATATGTTTTTGCTAATCGCGCGAGGCCTGGGCGCGATTAGCAGAAACACATAGGTTTTCAGACGCAATCAGAGTAAGGGGGCCCGAACGATCTTACAGAGTCCCTGTGCGCGAGCAGTTCGATGTGGGGGGTGGACGCGTGGGGGCCAGAGTTGGGCGCTACGTTGGGGGGCCTCGTTTGAGGGCCACGTTGGGGGGTCTCGTCAGGGTGTCATGGTTGGGGCCAACGTTCGCGGCCCTGCCGGGGGCCATGTTTGGGGGCCGCGTGCGGGGTTCGGGGGCACATGTGACGGTCGCGTTTGAGGGTGTGGGGGTTCGGGGGCAGATGTGACGGTCACGTTTGAGGACAATGGTTGGGGGCTGTGTGTGTTGGGGCCACGTTTGGGGGCGCCTGGGGGCTACGCGTGGGGTTGACGTTCGGGGGCCACGCTTACTGGGGCGGTAGGGGCGACCTTCGGAGGCTTTGTGCGGGGGCCGCCTTTGGGGGTCCCGTTTTGAGGCCGCGCGTGGGGCCGACGTGTAAGGGGCCACGTCCAGGGGCGATCTCAGAAAGCAGTCGGGGAGCCCCGGGGGCACTGACCTGGAAGCGTGAAAAGGAATGGGTTTTTGCTAATCGCGCTGGGACTGGGCGCGATCAGCAAACTCAAGGGTTTTCAGGCACCGTCAGAGTGAAGGGGCCACGTTAGCGGGCCCGCGCAGGGTGGTCCTGGGGCCATCTCGGGTTCTCGGGCCGTCGAGATGGCCGTCTCGAGAGCTCTGGCAGATCGAAGCCAGCAGAACCGAGAGAGCAGCGGTGAGGCCCCCGATACAGCCAAGGGTGCGGGTGCTGGTATACGTAGGGCCCCCGAACTACTACAGCCTGCGGGCAATGTCGCTGCGGGCCTGGGTAATGGGTAAGAGATCTCGTGGATGTTGGTTGGGATCTCATGGCTGGCCTCTCGGGAGCCTCTAGGAGACAGTTTTGGGGCTTCTTGGTAGCAGTTTGGGGGCGTCTTGGGGCCTCTTGGGCCCTCTTTTGGGGGCCTCTTGGGGTCTTTTGGGGCGCTTGGCGGCCTCTGGGGGGCCTCTTGGAGCCTCTTTGGGGCGTCCTGGGGCCTCCTGGGGATGCCTTGGGAGCGTCCCGGCGTTTCTTTGGGGCGTCTTGGGGCTTCCTGGGGGCATCTTGGGGTGGGGGCTTAATTTGTTCGGTTCCGGGTCCCTGTCTGGGGCCTCTCTTGGGGCCTTCTTGGGGCGCTCTTGGGCTGTCTTGGGCGACTCCTGGGCCGCCTTGGGGCCCTCTTGGGCCGTCTTGGGGCCGTCTTGAAGGCCTCTTGGGCCGTCTCGGAACGGTCTGGGGGGCCTCTTGGGCGGTCTTGGAGCGTCGGAAAGCCGAAAACGCGAGAAGGCCAGAAACATCGGAACAAAAACAAAGAAAATCAACGATTTTGGCTTCTGCGGCCCCTCTTGGAGGTACACTTCGAGCACTCTGGGGGCCTCGTGGACGCGTCCCGGGCCGTCTTGAAGGCATCTTGAAGCCATTTTGAGCGTCCCGGATCCACTCTTGGACCGTCTTGGGCCGTCTTCGGGACCTCCTGAGGCCGTCTTGGGGCGATCTGGGAATCCTGGATCAGTCCGCCAGCGGTCCGGGGGCCTCCCGGGCCCGTCGGGCAGCGGCCCGGAGGCTCTCCGGGCGGCCCGCGAGATCTCTGGGCGGCCCGGGGCGCTGCCACTGCCTGACCTTCTCGCGCGCGCTTCGCCCGGAAGTGTAGTACAGATGATGTCGGGCTCCAGCTTCGCCTCCAGCATCTCGCTCAGCAGCGCCAGGGCCCGCTGCCACTGCCCGCCCTTCTCGCACGCGCTGGTCCCAGCACTGTAGCTGATAGGGCTGACCCGTGGACTCCGTCCACGACATCTTTCTGGAATGGTTCTCGGAGGAACGGCGCAGATTGTACCGAAAATATACAAACACGGCGGCGGCTCGGGCGGCGGCAGCGAGACCGCGCCTTCGTGTCCGAGCTCTTGCAGCGCTGCAGCAGCTTGGCCCAGCGCACTGCTCGTTCACCCCCCTCCTATTGAGGACAGTTTCGAAGTCTCTCGGGGATGTGCGTCGAAGTCGAAGCCCATCTGAGGCGTCTCAGGAGCGCTCGGGGAAGGGCTCGGGAGGCCATCGGGGAAAGCCACCGAAAGCGCCGGGGAGGCTCGCAAGGATCTACAGGGAGGGCCCAAGAGAGCTTCAAGAAAATTTGAAATCCAGTGAACTCTTAAGAGAAACCGCTGTTGGGTCGGCCATCACCTCCGGGCGCGCCTTGATGGTGCGATCCAGTCGCATCACCGCCAACGGGAGGGTTTGTTCGCCATGTCCCATTCTGTTCGCCCAGAGGGTCTGTGGAGGCCTTCGGGCGAACAGAACGGGACAGGGCAAGGAATGGGGAAGACATGTCCGAATCTCCTGGGCTCCCCAGATGCTCGTCCGAAGAATGCGGAGAGGTCCCAGGGTCATATCAATTGGCTGCTGTCACAGGGGTCCGGTCGTCCGGTCTGCTTGGCCCGAAGAGTTTGCCAAGGCCCCTGGGGTAACAGAATGGCACAGCATATCGGGCAAAGGGGGGCGGTAGCTGGCCTGTCAGACCCGGCGTTCGTCTTCTGCCCAAGCGGCGCGGGGCCCACGGGCCCCAGGGTTGGCGTCCCGCTGGGATTCCTCTTGTTCGCCCACAGGGTTGGAGGAGGCCTCCAGGCGAACAGAATGGGCAGGACAATGAATGTGGGAGACTTGTCGCAAGCTCCCAGCCCCCCCAAGTGTGCGCCCGAAGGGTGTGGGGCCGCGTTGGCTCCCTCAAAGGGCCGTCTTGGAGCCGTCTAGGCCCGTCTTGAGGGCGCCGTTTGCCCTGATGGGGCCGTCTTGGTTCGGCGTGGGCCCCTCATGGGCGCGTCCGTAGGCCGTCCTGGGCCCATCGGGGTCCTCGTGGGG